CATCTCTCCTAAGTTTATTTCTTGGATATTACTTCCATGCAAATGCGCACCACTTATCCCACTTGTCAGTACACAAAAATTTATAAACAGATCTATATTGTCTAGTAAACTCTATTGTCACTACTTGGGGTTTGCAAAGCTAGGCTGATTCGTTGAAATATGAGAGCTAGTTTTCTGTATGCATAAGCATGGACATTTTTACAAAATTGTCACAGCTCAAATTCTGAATAGTAACACGAAAGAGAAAGAACAGTCAAGCTCTCTTGTGACGGTGTATGAGACTTGTTGTCTAATAGGAAGGTATGAAACTCACTGCAACAAATTGCAGGAAAGTAAAAGAAATGGCAAAAAGCTCAAGTGGAGAAGAAAACTGCCATAAGCCATGGATCTATAGGCTGAAATATCAAAATTCAAGTCACAAAAAGATTTCACAGCAGCATACCTTTTGCAAGCTGTGCACTGCTACCATTGCCACGATGCCTAGCCAGTGCCTTGTCATCCCCCTCCCTTGCATTAGCTAGCACAAAACTAGTGCCAGATCTATCATGTAGTGTGCATGACCTTAAACTGTAATAGCTAAGTGCTACTCTTAAGCCTGAAAGAACAAATTGGGCTTGCAGCCAGCCTTCTCCCAATTCCACTAGAAATCCTGCCTAGGAACATGACCGTGAGGCATTGTGTGGCACAAGACTATCTAGGTATGTTGTGTTTCCACAGCCAACCATGAGCTATGTTGGGATCTCTTCAATCCTCATTACAATCTGAGCTCTCACATGCTCAAACACTCAAGATCACATTTCTCTCTTAAGGAACACTCCAAGGACACTTTTGAACACTTTTAAACGCTTTTAATGACTGTAAGAAAGAGGTGAGGTCCCATGCTCCCAGCGAAATCTCCTCAAATTGAATCACAAATCCCAAATTGCAAAGGAATATCCTAATGAATCTCTGCTCTTTGCATTTACCTTTAACATTTTCTAGACATTAATATGTTACTCAACTCATAGATTCTGATGGATATAAAGCCAATTTTCCCTTGTGCCACCTTTTACTTCTCCTTGTGTCAACTTCTACTTCTCCTTGGATTTATTCTTCTTCAATCCCATCCCTTATTGACTTCACCCTAGCTTTTTTCGGCTGTTCTTTTTTGCTGGATACGTTGATTGTATCTCCTTCTGCATCTTGAGACTCTCTACATACATCCTCTTCCTACTATTTTATACACATACCTTGATTATTTAAGATCTTCTAGCTTCAGGGACAAAGTGAATATGATAAACCTCCTTGAGAAGTTCATTTGGAAGCTTGATCACCACCATGCCACAGCCGTCCACCTGCAGTGTTTGTTGTGGAGCCTGGAAAGGCTTATAGGTGTGAAACACAACCTTCAAGAGTCATATGAAATTAAGCACCACTATCCAACCATAACACCTCTAGAGTAGGCACCAATGATAAATATTATCAACAACAAGTTGTTTTGAGTAAGTATATGCTGAGTGGCAGCCTTTTATGCATGGCATTCATGCTCCATATGTCCTGTCTTTCTATAATAATTGCAAAGACGCTTTTTCTTCTTAGAGAAATTATTTTTAGTGTTATAGAAGAGTTACGAGACCCACAGAAAGTGCCTCCTTTCTTCTACTCCCCATTTGACAATTACGTGGCAAGAAACAATGCTTACTCACGTGCAATCTGAGGAGATCCTGAATTGCTAGCTCAGCAATCTTGTGCTCTTCCTCTAGAAGATTAGAGTAGAGCTAGGATAAATGAGAGCATGGAGGATGATTATTATAACTCTAGGGAGACAGGGAAGCAAGAAAGCTTTTGCATAGTCATTTGAGACTACTTTGCCCACTTGCTTGAGCTGTTGCATGATGCCCTTGAGCTTCTTGATGTATGCTGCCATTGTCTCACTGGGTTGCATGTGTAAGGAGAAACACTTTTGGGTGAGAACCAATTTAGTGTTAGCAGCTTTGGTTGCAAAGACTTGGGAGAAAGAATCTCAATTTTCCTTGGTTAATTTTTCCAGATCAAGAAGATGAATTAATTCATCTCCAAAACCTAGTCCAATCACTGAACAGGTTCAAGTGTCAAGAGGTCTCGCTTCAGTTCCCTTGACCAAGTCCCAGCAATCTTTAGCCATCAAAATTAACTAGACTTGAGCTTCGATATATTGTGAAGTTTTCACTTCTGAACTTCTGGAGCAACTTCTCCCATCCTGCATCCCAGCTGCCAGCCAAAGTGACTGCTAGGGTGGTTTAAGCCATTAGTTTCTAGAGAAAACTGCTAAGGAAAGCGAGGGAGAGGAGGTGGTGGGAATCTCTAGAAGGGATGCTTACACCCTGTGCATACAGAGCGACAATGAGGGTAGAAGGATTGGGTTCACATTGTGCTCACTTGCATTCTTAGCAAAGATTGCAAGAGCCCTAGCACGTTCTTTCTCGTTGCATTGCTATGTTTACCAGTGTTTCACCATCAGGATCAAAACAAACTTAATACCATGTAAATGTCTGGATTTTTGTATATGGAGTGCTCTCTCAACTTTATTGCTTTGCTGTAGTTATGTACATAATGGTATGGGTGTGAACTTGGTGCTTGTTTGCTGATGTGGAGACTTGCTGTCACTCGTCTCCAGCAAGGGAAGGCACATGGCTCAGCTATGGTCTTGTCTGGCTTTATGATGTCAGAAACTCTCACTGACCAAGGCTAACATCAGCTTGGAGCAGACCAATTCAAGTGAAAAGCATCACTGACGTAAATTCTTTTTACGTTCAAGCGATGGCCACATCTTGCCTTCCCTTCAACAAGGTTCATCTTCAACACAACTACATTTAAGGAGTATCTAGAGCAGCAACATACATATAGAGGTTTTTTGATCATTCGGTTCTTACATTTTCCTTTCCTTTCTAGTCAAACGTTTTGACATCAATTTTTTTTACACCATGCGGATATGTGTGCCTCCTGTCCTGGAAAGTCTCAAACAGAGCTTAAGCAGCCAACAAAAGGATCCATGCGTTTTTTCACATCAAAACATTTCCAACATTCTGCAGCAATGAAATACCTCTTCTTATTAGTAGATGGAGTAGCATACTGCTCCCCACAAAAAGCCAAGGAGAAGAGTGAGCTGGAGCAGCTTCTTCGTGTCTCGAACCAAATTACCTTATGACCAGGAAACTAGCTTTGAGCCACTACTCACCAAAGCCCTTCTTTCACAACATTGTTGCAGATAGAAATGATTTGAGGTGCAAACACCCCAAGACTGCCTTCCGAGCTTGAGGACGAGCTCCCCTAGTGTGTATAGGTGCCAAGTGAGGATATATTGGGATATTCCCTGGAGATGGTCTTTTTCAGCTCTCATCTTGGAGAGTCATCATCATGTGCATATCCCACCACCCTCTGTGACAATTTATGCCGATGCCTTAAGGAAAATGCTGAGCGCCACAACTTATGAAACCACTTTGTCCTTTGATTTAGTTCGCTCTTCACAATATCTTCTTTCCATTGAGGGGAATTATATGAGAGACTTGGCAATGCCCACAATCATTCACTCATGACACCAGATCGTTGAAGTTGATCTCCTCTAAAATCCTTCTTGCATCATCTATGTCTGCATTTGCCTCTGTAAAAAGGTGGTCATTTCACCAATTTGAATGGAATTGTTTGGGTTAGTACTTATCCACACTATGTTTTTCTAAACCCTTCTTCATATTTAGAATACACTAGCAATCCCTGAATCGTTCTTATTCATTATCTTTCATTTCGGCCATGCAACTCAGGAACACACTGTGAGTTATAGCCAAAAATTTGCAAAAGATCTCCAAAACCACCACACAGAGGAGCTTATAGCTCTCTGGTTATGACATATCAACGCCATTATCGAGGGCATCAGCCATACCGTTGCGATTTCTCCCCACATCCACTCCCATGGCCAGCATCATCACAACAAACCATGGCCCCATGTTCTTCATGACTTGCTGCAAAAACTAAGAGAAACAATCTCTAGTATACTGGAGAGAGGTGGTTTGATCTGTGATGCCCATCATATTTATAGCTCAAGACGCTAGAATGCTCTTGGGAAGGCATCTAGAATATTTGAAAGCTAGTTGTTCCGTGTTTGTCAATTCCTTCTCTTTTCTATAATGCTGGGTGGGGCATGCAACACGAAGAAGGAAGTAAAACTGCCACGCAAGAAAAAATCAGTGGGCAGGCCTGGAGTCAAAATGAAGTAAACTCTTGAAATGAAGCTGTGAATCCAGATGAGAAATAGAGAGAACAGACATTTTTTGTCAAGGCCTGGACAGTTTATATATTATTGCTGGATCTCATGCAATGCCATACAGAAAACTATTCTTCTTTCCAGACCCTGGCACTGCAGAATGATGAATTCAGAGGAACGATGCTGGGGTTGACCCCTTGAAACGGGAGGTTTCAGTTGTGCCAGCAGCGATTGTTGCACCAGACCCAACCCCTCTGGCAACGGTGGCAACTGTTGTCATACCAATACCACCCCGACTGGCAGCGCTGGGCAGCAGCCTTTGCGATTCCTCCCACGTCCACGCCCATGGCCAGCACTATCACAAACATGGCAAGCGCCAAAAACACCACCAAGAAAGCCTTGTTCTCCATGATTTGCTGCTCAGACTAAGATCAAGTAGGCTTGTAAATGCTAGAGTGACTTTGGAGATAAGGATTTGAAGGATTGGAGAAGCATTATAGGAAAAAGAAGAATTGGCAAACACGGAACCACTTTTACTGGACTAACTTTCAAATATTCTTCCAGAGATAAGAAATAAGCGAAGCCGTCCCAAGACAACTGCCCAGCCACCATCTAAATTGTGCTGCCTCGAGCTATAAATACGAGCCCCTCCTGCCTCACAGATCAAACCATTCCTCTTCTAGCTTTGCCAAAACTTTACAAGAGTTTGATTCAAAGTTCCATAGAACTTCCATGCTAATATAAACATGAACCTAATACCTTGTCTTCCGTTTCGACCACAGACTCAGTACGGCCGCTTCCAGTCACCCGCAACATTAATCAAAGTGGTTCGTCTTTTCTCACTGGCAGGCTCTTGACAATCTCTTGGGCATTCTAGAGCAATCTGCAACAATTAATGGAAGTGATATCAATAATTATCAAGATTTTATTCATTAAAATTGTTTTTCTTATTTAATTTACTTATAATTATTTTCTGTTATTCTATTAATTAAATGTTGTACTTGTTGACTCTTTAAATGGACTCATGTGACGCAGCTGACATGAGCACGTAAAGCGCCAGAGTCCCCTGGTTTCATCTCCAAGAGTTTCTCTGCGGCACGAGCTGCAACATTGATGTTCTTGCCGTTACCACGAACTTTGCAAGCGCTGATGAAGCTCTTCCACGCGAGGAAATGCGGCTGGAAGGGCATCACCAGCAGCAGACCTTCGGCCTTGGCAACCAGCCCGGCCCGTCCCAGCACATCTGCCATCGCCTGGAAGTGAATCACATTTGGAGAAATACTGTACTCCGCCACCATAGATCGAAAGTAGTCGAGTGCCACACGGAGCTTCCCACCGTGATTGCAAGTCAGGAAAATCCCCTGGAAACTTATCTCGTTTCTCGCCTCGCCCTCCATCGCCATGCTGCCAGCAAACATCGCGCGCTGTGGCATCCGTGCAAACATCTTCCTGGCTTCTTCGAGGTGGCCGTGGTTGGAGTAGGCCAAGATCATGGCAGTCCACACCACGTCATCGTGATAAGGAGCTCGATGGAAGAGAATGCGAGCTTCTTCGAGCTGGTTTCTCTCGGCCAGTGCGGTGATCATTGTCGACCACGATGCAATGTTCCTCTGTGGCATGCCATCAAACAGAGACCTTGCTTCTTTCAGACTGGACGTTGCTGCTAGCATTGCGTTCCACGAGCTTAAGTCGCGGTGTGGCATTTTACTGAAAAGCTCTTTGGCTTTTTCCATATGCCCAAGCTGGGCATATGCAGTGACAAGAACAGTCCATCCCAACTCGTTGGTTTCGGGGATTCTCATGAACAAATTTAGCACGTCGTTAAAAAATCTTTTCTGGAATACCCATTATACATAACAGTCCAAGAAACTAAGCATTCCATCAAAGATCTGGCTTGCTTGATCCATATGCCCCTTATGGGCATATGCTGTAAGTAGCGAGTTCCAGCAAACTACATCCCATTCTAGAACACGATCAAACAATGCTTGGCACTCCTCCAAGTTTCCACGGTTTTCATGAGCCGTGAGAATAGAGACCCATGCAATAATATCTCTTTGTGGCAAACAGCTCTTTTGCTTCCTCAAGATCCGCATTTTGGGCATAAAGCGCCAAGCATCAAGTTCCAGGAGAATCTGTTGGGCTCATGGATGGCTGATAAACACCTGCCATGCTCGATCCCCGCGCTCGCACCTTCCTTAGAGCTGGATGAGAAGATTTGCGAGGTACCTGTTGGATTGGTGGTGAAGGATGAGCGCGTGGAGCCTGGCGCCATGACGCAAATCTCTTTTCTGGATGCAAGCTGCTGTGAGGAGTTGCGCGTAGTCGTCGTCGAGCGACAATGCACGCTGCTCTAGATCATCCACGGCCTGTTCTAGAGGCTTCAATTGTTAGCAGCGAAGAGACACGGAAGAACTTTCTATGTATTTCAACTGTATATGGATGGTACATGTACATGGAAACTACTGCCACGTGGGCATAATTACATGTCACATCATCTCTACCTCTAACATCAATCGGTACGTCTGCGTGGTAGTGATTCCTCTCATCGATGCTTTTACTGGCGTTTTCCTGGAATACAGTAAACTCTTTCGACTGACAAAATAGAGCTTTGATTTGTCAATGGCGAATAAGCGTTTCCAAAGGTGGCATTTCATATTGGATTTCTGCTGTAAAAAGGAAATGGTGGTCACAGTGTGTTCCCTCAACTTGTTCTTCATATTTATCACAGTTTGAATTATACATTCAAAATTGCTAGATAATCCCCGAGAGGAAACTTATGATCCATACCAGCGCTATCCTCTAGGTGAGATTCCTCCCACATCCATGCCCATGGCAAGCATTACAAACATGACGAGCACCTAAAACAACAATCTTTTTGCTGCTAGTAAGCTTGTTATATACTAGGCTCATAGGGATGGCATCAGTTAGTTCTTATCTCTTTGAGTTCCGTGTTTGGGAATTTCTTTTCTTTTTTTCTATAATGCTGGAAAAAAGAAGAAATTCCCAAACATGAAACTTGACGACAGAGTCCCAACACAACTTTATAGCTGCCTTGAACTATAAATATGAGCCCTTTCTACTGTACAAATCAAATTGTGCCAAGAGTGTGAGGAAAAGGGTACATACTTTGTTTAATTGACGATAGTTAATGTAGAAATAAATACTCCTATCAAGCTTCATCACATGAGGTTCATATGCCTAAAGATTGCATGACTTTTGAATAACTCCATTTTCCAACATCTCCTTGACGTTTGCATATAAAATCTTGATCTTTTTGGGTAATTGACAACGAATAAAAACCTTAATTGAACAAGCATCCCCAGTTAGAATAAGATGATATGTTATAATCTTGGCTCTATATGAGAAGTCAAATTCAAAGAAATTTGCATACTTCTCCATGAGTCGGTCAACCATTGCAATATAAAAACCGTCGGAGGGATTAGAAAAAGAAAGAGAGAAACATAACAGAAACTTAGGAGAAAGTAATGGGGAGACAAAAGTGATGGAAGTAGAGGTAGAAGCAAAAGGACAAAGATGTATAAAAGTGAAAGGAATGGAAAAAATATCAAGAAGTATGAGACAAAAGGGAGAAACTTCAAATCATATTTGGCATGATTGTGCCACAACCAATTCATACTAATGATGAAGTCAAAAGCTTGATTTAACACCACTTGCAATGACTATAACTCAAACTCGAAATTGCTTACATGCACAACTAAATCCGCTTCATCCCACACACATACATGTGTATGACCATTGCCATAAAGAATGAAAAATGGTTTTACCACATGACATAATGTAGATGGCAACGTGTGGCAACAAGTCAAGTAATAGAAGATAAACTTGAATCTATATTAACCAACACAAAAAGAATAATAAAAGACCTCTTGTTATAAAAACGAGTTTGGAAAATAAACATTGAATTAATTGGTGTTAAATGAACCCCTTAATGATACTCCTAAAAGAAAAATGGAAGGGTTATTGATTTATTTGTGCAATGTCCCTTTTGTTACTCACATGACTTTTGTTTTTCAAATGCATTTCAGTGTCTAGACCTTTCACTACAGCAGTATCAACAAAACATTGTTGATGCTAATGTTGCAAATGTGACTTTAGGTGTCGAAAGTTACATGTTGGTTAGTCCTTTCAAATATTCTTTCCTTACTGCCATGACAATAGGAGGTCGGTATTGTTGGACCCTTTATTAGTCCTTCTTGTTCAAGTGTTAATAAACTAAACTTTGCATTTATATTTGGCCGGATGAGCATAAGGATGGAATTCCTACATGTCTATTTAACTAAGTATATTTGGCCCGACTTGTTAGTTCTCTTTTGTTCTGTTTTATATTAGCTTGACAAGAACCTTCGTGTATTGGGATTAGTCCCTCAATATTCATTAAATGATAACTTACCGTGTCTGCAAAACACCTTTACTATCATGCCCTTTGTATTAGTCTCATTTCGGTCCTAAATGCTATTTATAGAAAGTGTCTAGATTTACTCATTTGGTATAGATTGTCCTAAACATAATGGTGTTTATCCCATATCCAAATTCATAATTTAGGGACATTCCATATGTAATAAGTTTTAAACTTGTCCTAGAGCTTGTCCCAATCGTCAATATTTCCAAATGCACATTTGAAGACGTCCGGGAGAATACTCTAATCCTCATAAGTGGTTGTGCTCAAACCATTGTACCACTTTAGCATCATTGGAAACACACAGGAAACTCATGCAAATGTCAAATATCATCCCAATAATGATATGCCCACAGAAGGAACTCTAGCCGAACTCGAGGATTGGCAGTAAGAGTAAGAAGAATTGCAAGCTACTATCAATTGAGTTTGGTTATTCAACTACAATCATATAACATTGAACAATTGCACCAACTATTGCTCCAAAAACAAAGGAAGAGGAAATTGTTACTTTGCCATGAAGAGAGCAAAAGAAAAGAAATGGAAAAAGCTAGAAGGAAAAGGAGATCTAGACAATGCAAAAGCTAGATCTAAAAAAAAAGCAAAAGAAAAGAAATGGAAAAAACTAGAACAAAAGAGAGATTTAGACATTTCAAAAACTAAAACAAAAATCCCAAATCCAAGCACTCTTTAGGGACAATCAAAATTGCCCCTCATCTCCACCAATATGAGTGCATGGAACATAGAAAGAAAATATAAGAAATATACATATTAATTAACCCAGAAACCCTAGTTTATATACTGGAGTGAGTGGTCTAGATTGAAATCAATATGATATCTATCAAAATCCCACTATATTAATATTAGTATACAGTATTGTAACTATATACTTGAACTTCACAAAACATTTTATAAAATTAATCTAAATGAGATGGTAAAATATCTGGGTATATTCTAGCTATATCCACTACCACAAAGGTTTTTTTAAGTAAAACAAAAATTGATAAATTTAAAACCATGATTCTATTTTATTAAAAGTTACATTATATAAAATTAACTTTTTATTAAAGGTTCTTAATGAATTGTACCATATATGAGTTGAGACAATCCCATGTAATAATGAAAGCCCAATTTTGCCATCCATACCATTTATCAGTTTGGAAAAATCTATATCTATTAAAAGTGACTTCTATAAAATAAGTTCTATGTTCTACTTTTAAAAGTTTTATCATAATGCCAAACAATTGCATTTCCATATTTATTACATACTTCAACTTCTGTTGTCATATCAGGAGCTCAGTCATAATCATCTAAATTGTTAGTTTGGTTCATATCAATGGTTATATTAGTATTATTATAGAGCTGTGTATGAATAAATATACTGGAATAATTTAAGTGAGACTCCAAGCTATAAGAAAGCATGTAATGAAGTAATAGAAATGCTATGAATTTTAACATTTTTGAAACATACACACATCTAGATTTAATTAGATGAGTTTTTATAGTGTCCATTTTTGTTTTTTACAGCATATTGATTATATGGACTATGAGGTCAATGTATGAAGACAAACAGCTAGTAGTTATTTTAATTTGTCAGAAAACATGGAAAGAATAATTGCTAAAATAGCTGTTTGTCAACATTCTAATGGTAGCCTCAAAAACCTCTTGAAGTCCTTGCAATAGTCATATATCATCCAATTATCTTTGACCCATTAAAGCTTGTGTGTGGTACCCTCATCCTTAACCAAAAACATTGGACTTTCCCACCACTTTGGAGGCCTCCTTGTCTTAGTGCAAGATCTTGGAGAACTCGATGACCACTTGCAAGCATCGATCCCAAACCCCCGAAAAGATGCCACAAATGGGGATTTGTTCCACTTGATCTTCTCTAATCCTCCACGAGTAGCCCAATCGTCCCCATTCCACAGGCTGGCGTAAACGCCCATTGGTTTCGTGAGTGGAAATGGAACGCCAAGCTCCGCCATCTTGTTGGCAACACGCGGATTGGCACGTCGTCCACGTAGAGTCTTGTTGTAATGGCGAGAAAAAATAAATAAACATTCTGAAAAGAATCTTGGGCTTCTAGACTTACATAATTTGCGGACGGTTCCAGAGGATTGAGTACGTATGAAAGTCGGCAGTGGGATCAACCAGAGATAGATCTGCTGCTCTCGATCACCTGTTCCGTTTGCAAAGATGTTGGTGTGGACAATGTAAGGTTGGCCGCTGGTGTTTCCCAAGAACTCAAAGTCAATCTCATCGTGGTCTTTGGATGGCATCTGTGAAGACATCTAAGAAAGTAAAGGAGCAAAATTCAACAAGGTTATCCCAGGATAGAATGGAGAATAAGTTTTCTTACATAGAACGTTGTCACCGTCCCGGCGGATTCATTGGCGACGAGCTTGATTCTCATGCTCACATACCCAAAGAGATACTTGTTTTTGGAAGCAAATCCCGAGCCTCCTGTATGGAAGATTCATACAAAGAATGTTGATATCTCTCTTACATTTGGAAGAAGAAAATGATATGCTAACCCGTGTTGTTGGTGAGAAGGAGCTGGAGCTGTGATCCTAGATTCATCAGCCTGGTGTTGCTACTCCCCCAGCTGACCTGATAATTCCTGGCAAACTTGCAGTCGGACAACCTCCTGGGCGTTTGTTGGGTCGACACCAATGATCCCGCGATCATCATCATCAAACTTGTCATGGGCAATAAAACTTTGCGTGGATCCATGGAGAGGTTTCATACAGGACGATCCTCCAAATCCTCTCCCACCCCAATTGGATTGACACTGGATCAAGCCTATAAGTTCTCGCGATCGAGATATTTTCTGATGAGATATACTAGCCCTAGCTCATGGCCGATAGAGGTAAGAGGCAGCGGGAGGATTGGGGAGAGGATTCGGTAGAAGCCCGAAAGAGGAGACGGCAAGAAGAGATGGAGCAGCTGCGATTGCTACAAGAGAGGGTGCGATCGATGGAGATGAGCTATCGTGAATGCCCGGAGGACCTGTTCGATGATTTTGAAGGTTTCGATCCTGAGTGGAAGCAGAGGTATCTGGATCTGCTGCTTGAGAGTTGGGACAAGTTGTCGCCAGAGCAGCATGAAAAACACAAAGGCATCGGCCCACGGTATGTACTTGAAATGGCGCTGCAACAAGTAGACAACAAGGCGCGGGAATCAAAAGTGAGAATGGTGTTGGAGAAGTACCCAGTGCTTCTTTTCGAATCTTGGGAGTGTGTCCACAACAAGGTGAAGGGCGAGGAATGGCTTGATGAAATCTATAGAGCTTGCTGGTACAAGCTGACACCGGAGGAGCAGCAGCAGTACAAGGAATTCCGTCCACAACATGGCATAGAGTTAACGGCGGCAAGTAAGTGCGTCAGTTTGCATGAATGTTTATGTTTGCTGCTGCTACAGGTCGAGCATTTGACATGGAGTATGAGGGCAGTGGAGTAGACTCGCTTTACGACGCCCTGAACAAGATCAAGAAGGAGACTGATTTTTCACGTATCGTTGGTCTCTTCCAGTCCAGCGGCTGGGGTAAGTCGAGGGTGGTTCGAGAGTTACATCGGAAACAGGTTTGGATCATTTACTTGTCGCTGGGTTCTGGCTCCTGTTATCCTCAGCCTTCATATTTTAGAGATGTTTTCCTCGGCCGTGCAAGGCAGGCACTGGGAAATGGAGATCACGCAGGCCATCTCGCATGCATGACCTACTGTCTGGCTTATTGGATCGCATGCATTGAGGAGCTGGGTGGAGGACTAGCGAAAGAGGAGCCGTGGACGCTGCAGGTGTTTGCAAACATGATGACGGTAGATGGTGGAAAGGACTTTTGGCCCGGAGTGGAGAATCGGATTAAAAAACTGATAAGAAAACTTGACCAGGAACTTAAGCCTCGAGAGAAGATAAAGGCCAGTACTCAGTTGGAACTATGGACGACATGGGAGACTAAAGCCACTGATGTCTTCAAGAGGTATATTCGTGAGGTCCCTGCTTTGGAAATTGGTACGGAGACAACAGGCCAACCGTTGAAGCTGCTGTTCGTCTTCGATGAAGCCCGGTCGCTGTTACCTTCCAAAGATGGACGGGAAGAAAACGTGTACATCCCACTTCAAAGATCTACACGAGTGTTAGGTGGAACATGTTTAACTCTGTTCATAGACACTACATCCAGGGTCGCCAATTTCTTAGAACCTGAGTGGTGCGATCCTTCTGCACGGAGTCGGAATCCGGTCCCTGGGTTTTTTCTTCCGTCTCCTTTGATTGCCTTCTTCAAGGGAGATATCGGGGAAAACAGCACACTTCTGCCGGCTACGTCTACACAGGGGAATTGTTTTGAGGAGGTGGTTAGTAACGAGTGGATGCTCAAGTATGGCCGACCGCTTTGGTGGTCTCTCTACCTGAGCAACCTTGCCAAGGATCCTGATGCATGTGAATCCTGCCAGGATCTTCACCGATGGCTTGAGAGTGCTACAGATGCAGATAAAGCAGAGGCGTTTCAAACGGTATTTGGAATTGCGCATTATAAGCTTACCTTGGTTACGACTAGAGATATCAACCGGTACAGCGAGCATGCGCGCATTGCCATGTTGGGAGTCAGATACGGGATTTCCATAGATGCTTCGTCCAAACTCGTAGAGGATTTGATTGCGAGTCATATGCTGACTGGATTGTACGTGACAAGTTGCCAATCCCGGTTGTTTGCTGCATGGGCAGCTGAGCCGCTTCTTTCTGAAGCTGCATTGGTGTGTATCCAACAGTTCAAGGAGACACCAGATGGCTACAGGCTTCTGTTTAAGCCCTTCCAAACATTGTTGTCTGGGGGCATTGTAGACAAAGGTGAACAGGGGGAGCTACTTTTAAGGATCATACTCTTGGAGGCAGTAGACAAGGCACGGGAAATGACTGGAGAAAAACGATCTTGGTGTACAGTGGACGAGTTTTGCTCTCAACTGGTGAAAACGCCACTCGGCGAGCTTGCGCAGCAGAAGAAGATGCCTCACCAGGAAAAGGTGCAAGCTGTCGCACAAGGCAAGATAAGTATCAACTGCTTCCGCAGGATCTACAAAAACAAGACAGACTTGTCTGATCTCGTTGAGGCCTTTAAAAGGCGTTGTGGGCTAGTATGCTACCGTGGTGCGTGGGGTGTCGACATCTTAGTGCCCATTCATTTGGGAGATATGAAGGACAGGCTGAACTTGAGCGCGCTCTTCATTCAGGCAAAAGATATGAAGAGATCGTCCGGGCTGATTGCTCTTGCCAAAAACTCTCCACAGTTTTCAAGCCTCGGATGTTTGGACGAGTCACCATATCTGAGTTTATATATGAACCTCAATTCTGGTTCTGGGAATGTGAACAAAGTGGATATGGTGGCACCGGAGTGTGTTTGGAAAGCAGTTAGGAAATGTAAGGAGGCTCAGAAGGCAGTGCAGCAGCTGGGGTCTAAGGTGCATGAAATTCGGAAGAAGCTAAAACGGGAGGTTTGTGTAGGTACTTTTGTATCATCTCTTTTCTGATTTTTTCTTTATCACAGGGTGGATACCCAATGACAAGAGCGCGTAGGCGGGATGGAGGGGCAGCTCAAGAAGAACAGGTTCTTTTGGCGTTGTATCATCTCTTGTGTGACTTTTGTATTCTGGTGCAGTTTGAGAGAGAGTCGACAGCTGAACAAGAACAGGTTCTTGAAAATTGAGTAAATCCACTTTTGTATCTTTTCTGATTCTGTCTGTATGGTGCAGTATGAAGGGAAGAATCCAACTCAACAAGAACAGGTTCTCTTGGCATTGTATCATCTGTTTCTTTACTCTTGTATTCTGGTGCAGTCTCAGAGCGAGTTGGAGTGGACATCTGTTCTTGAAAATCCAATAAATCCAGAAGAACAGGTTTGTGTAGGCACCTTTATATCTTTTCTGATTCTATCTGTGTGGTGCAGCATGAAGGGAAGAATCTAGCTCAACAAGAACAGGTTCTCTTCTCTTGGCGTTGTATCATCTGTTTCTTTACTCTTGTATTCTGGTGCAGTCTGAGAGAGAGTTGGGCTCTGAGTGGACAACTGTTCTTAAAAATCCGTTAAATTCAGAAGAACAGGTTTGTGTAGGCACCTTTATATCTTTTCTGATTCTTTCTGTGTGATGCAGCATGAAGGGAAGAATCCAGCTCAACAAGAACAGGTTCTCTTGGCATTGTATCATCTCTTTCTTACTTTGTTTTGTGGTGCAATCTCAGGGGGGGAAGGACGTAATGATTCAGCATTGGAAAGAATGGATGACAGCAGACATAAAAAATCAGATCATAGTCAAAACCAGAGGGTTGGACTGCTTGTCATTGGATGCTGACTTGCTAAAGATTTTAGAGGCTATAAAGAACGTTCAGGTGTGGCCAGAAAAGATCGTTAAGATCATTCCAGAAGATGGCGCCAAGAGGCACCAGGCTATTAAGCAGATTTGGGAAGTGCAAGACCCATTTCTGCAGGACATGTTTGGGATCTTGAACATTAATGACTTAACTCTAACGTGAAGTGCAAGACCCATTTCTGCAGGACATGTTTGGGATTAATGACTTAACTCTAATGTGAAGTGGAATAGTCACTGTAATTGTCTTGTTACAATTTTCCCAGAAACATAAGAGTACTGTTCATTACAAATCTATATTACAACCTTGGTTTCAAAGCGTGGTTTCAGCAACCTTGGTTTCAATGCCTGGTTTCAGCAACCTTGTTATAAATGTAGAATTCACCAAAAATGATAAAACTAAAAACACAAGAACAATGAAACTATGATAGTAAATATTTATTTTAATGCATAGACATTTTGCAATTGGGCAATAAAAGATTTAAAACAACCCCTTCTTGCATAAAGCTTTAGCAAGGGATTCTAGAGCTTTGAGGGTTAGGTTGCTCATACATGCTAAATGTGTAACAGCCCCAATATCTTTATGAGGTGGTGGTGTTAGGAGAGGATCTGGTAGAAAAGCCTCCAACCGTGTCTTAGGCTCATTCATAATAGCAATAAGGGTTTGCTCACTAGATGATGCAAAAGTGACCACCAAAATGACTGGAGGAACTAGCAGTAGTGGTGTTGGTAGGAAAGTTGTATCACCACCAAGTGGAGGAGGCATTGCTCCTCTTGGAACAAGTTTCTTCTAAACTGCTGGTGCTAGAGGCTGGATTAACTCCTCATCCAGCATTAGGGACAAGTCCACCAGATTAGAATTGGAGGAAGCAATACCTTGAATATAGCAATAGAGTTCTTGCTTGTTAAGAGAAATATTTTAGCTGACCATGAGCTTTTTGAGAGCAAGATGCAGTAAGGCTTAAAATGAGCATAGTAGTCCACGATAGTCTTTTGGCTCATAAGCTCTAGTGTCTGCTGAATTGCATCTAGAATGTGAGTGTATATTGTACAGCCAAAGACTCTAAAGTGCCCTATTTGAGGGAGTTTCCCTTGTCAAAACATGATACAGAACCATGCTAGTGCTCCTTGTGGGAAGATGGTTGTGGATATAAACAATTATGTTGAAGTGTGATTAAGTTGCTCTGCCATGCCATTCTATTGGGGAGTATAGGCTGTTATATACTGGTGAACGATGCCAGCCTCAGGTAGGTAGCACACATCATTATAAACTAGATCCAACAAGTTTGTAGCTTGCTCCTCCATGGTTCTTGATATGAATGAAAGGCAAACTTTCATGCCAAGATGGCAAGCTTCACTCAGATGGCTGGTTAGGAGTGTGATGCCTTCAACAAGTTGGTTGCAAGCTAAGGCATGCAAATTTAGTTCATTGACATGCCCATACTAACATGCCACAGCTTGATGGTTTCACATGCTTGAAGAGTAAGCACTTGAGCTAGAAATACCAGTTCCATGTTTAAATGATAGAGAGTTTCATACTTGATGCCACTAGCCATATGAGTATTATAATAAGCATAAATTGTGCACCCTTCTACCAAGAAAGTGGTGGTAAAGCTTTGATTTCAGCCTGCACCTATGGAAAAAACGGTTTACCATATTTGCAACTTCCTTTTTGTCCACTACTACCTTTGGCTTCTTTTCAAGCCCAATATCATTTTAATTTTTATCTTAAGTATACCTTTTTTCCCCAGCTCAAAAATCTTGGTGATCCTTTGGTGACTATTGTGATTGGTAAGTTCCCCATTGTGCTGGGTATTGGACCTGTTAAATTGTTCCCCCTCAAATCGTTCTAATTTACTCATATTGGAAATAGTTTCAAGAATTTCTCCACTCAACCTTTGCTACAATTTGCCAACAATTCTGGAATTGGTTAAATTTGAGAGGCAACTTTAACAGCTCACAATTTGAGAGAAGTGGAGGAATTTGGTCATTGATTCTGTTGGATTAAAACCTTAGACATGATTTTCTTACCTAATTTCGGGATTTCATTCTCTCACTAAAGCAAAAATAAATTGTTATGTGTTGCATGTAGCAACACTTGGTTTGTGCTATTCTTACTAATTGATCAAATAAAGTATAGTTATAAGCATGTTTATCAACAAAATAAAAAAGAATATACTAAAAAGGGTTTAAGAAAGTTTACAAATTATAAACATGTTTATACATTATAAATACAAAATTAATCTAAATAAATAACAACCATTAGATAGCAAAATATCCTAAGCATATTTTAAATATATTCACTACCATTTTAGTCCCACTATAGATTTGCTTAAGCAAACCAAAAGGAAACAATATCCCTTTAAACTTGAATGTACCTAATGTAATTTACAGTTCATCATCCGTCTCAGACCCAACTCACCCAACTCTTGAATCGCGGATTAAAAATAATATTGAGAGAAGCGAGAGAAAAAAAGGAAAAAGAGGAGAGAGAAAAGATGGCGTTCCTTCGACTCTCAGAGCTGGAAAATTGTGGTGGTGGAGCTGATCGCGTTGTAGATGAGCGTCCCCGCTGTGGGAGTGAACTGCTTGGTCACCAGCTTGATGGCTTCCTGCGACGCAATCCCCCCGACGACAGCGCCAACGCAGTGGATCTCCCCGCCTCCAAACCGGCAAAACTCGTACACGAGCTCCTCCGAGACGCCACCGTCCAGTCCAATCTCGCCCGCCAGTTTGTGCGCAATCGCCCCGACCTTGGCCGCGTCCTCCTCCACCGTCTCGTCCGCCATAGCCCCCGGGAACCTCCCAAACTCTTCGGCGAATCTGTCCACCGCTCGAAACATGAGGTAGATCGCGTAGTTTGTGTTGTCTCCCTCGAACGGGAGATACTTCTGGAGCTTGGCCCCGACCTCTTTCAAGCCCAGCTCCTCCGCCAGCGAGCGGTACCTCAGCACCCTCAAGTTCCTCGAGTTCTTGCAAAAGTGCTTGATCGCGGCCCTGGAGATGGAGTCCGGATCTCTTCCCAGCTGCGAGAGGATGCTCCTTACGTGGGCTTCCACGGCCGAGACATCCGACTCGGCCTTGGCCTGGTAGCAGCGCTGGAGGAGGATGTAGTACTCGGTGAAAGAATGCATGTCCGGGATGGCACCGTCGAGTGGAAACTCTCCGCCACCCTCCGAGGCCACGAATCTCTTGAGCGCCGCCACGAGTATCCAAAAGTCCGAGGAGCTAGAGTCGACGTCGGCAGCGCCGTCTTCCAGGATGGCTTTCACTTCCGAGCTCAGCGATGGCGGAGACCAGACTTTGCTCGCCGCCGCCACCGCCTCCTTGTAGTTGTCCTCGTCCTGTGCCTGCTTCTTCGACGCCACCAGGGACTTAAACTCGGATCTCTCCTTGGTGGTCGACGGGAGAGCGCCGCCGTGCTTGCTCCTCCACTCCTCACACACCTTGAGAAGGATGATCGCGAAAGGGATGTGCTTGTGGACGAGAGAGTCCTCGGTCTCCAAGTTAAACTCTTCGACGAACGTGGTGAGCTCCGGCCATGGCCTGTGGAGCCGGAGATCGCTCACGGTGTTGTCGGGCTTGCTCTCGATCACCGCGTGCTCGCGGAGGCTGATCCTCACGTACCCGGTCAGTCCATAGGATCGCGCGACGAGCAGCATCACGGAGAAGCGCCGGCAAACCTCGTCCAGGATCACCAAGCTCCTGTCACGCATCTGGGTGGCGATCACGAGCGTGAACCTCGCGAAGAATCCCGGGTCGGAGTCAAGCAGAGACTCGGGCGAGGCGTCGATGTGGTCGATCAACACCGAGTCGTTCATCTCCTGGAGCAATGCGGCCATGCTCTTGGCTCGCGGCTGGCCTAGATTCTCGGCGCTGAGGAGGAAATTGTTGCCAAGGTCGGATTCATGGACCAATCCCCCGTCCACGGCCGTGACATTGCCAATCCCTCCCAGGACGAGATTCTTGAGCGCCTCGCTGCCCGTGGCTCCGCAATTCAAGAGGCAGACGCTGGCTTGCTCCAGCGCGCCCTGCCCGTGCTCGCCCCAAATCCGGAGCTGCCGATCATACTTGTTGCTCCTCGTCGCCGCCGCCGCCGCCGCCTTCTTTTGCTCGTCGCCGCTGCCGCCATTGGCGTGCGCCATCAAACCTGGGCAGTGGCGAATCGCAGCAGCCCCGTCGCGCTCCTCCTTGCCCGCCGCTGCTGCCTCCTCCCGCTCGCGTTTCATGCCTGGAGCATCGGCGCAAACCCTAGCCTGTCCCCGGAAGAACCCTAAAATGGTAAAGCCCTAGTACGCATCACCTTTTCAGCTGGCAAAAATACGAAGTAAATTTCGCACCCTAAAATCTTTTACCTGCCTTTCAGCTGATCGTAGAAAGTAACTACCTCGGGGTGAACTCGGATCTTGAGGGGATCGAATCCCAGTAGCCGCAGTCCGTGCAAGCTCCGTACTCTAGAGAGCGCGACGTACACCATGCCGTACTCAAAGGTCCTGGAGAGGTCCGTCTCCACGCAGTCGAGCGTCATCCCCTGGCACTTGTGGACGCTCAAAGCCCACGCCAGGATCAATGGAAGCTGCAATCTCTTGGCCACTTCCACCTCGCCTTCCATGACGCTCCACGCCTCCGGCCGGATGATCCACTCGCTAGAACCCGAGTGATTGAATCGCACCACCGGGAGTCCTCCGCCTGGCGAGATCCGGAGCTCGCTCTTCTCCGGGGCCGTGAAGCCCACCACGATCCCGCGAGCTCCATTCACGAGCCCCTGCTCGGTGCCGAGGTTCTTGATGAGCATCACTTGGGCTCCGATCGCGAGCGTGATCTCGGCTTCCGCGCGGCTGCCGTTGAGCATCTGTGTTCTTCCCGAGTCCTTGGCGGAGAAGGTGACGGACTTTGACGATGGGTTGAGTGACCGGAGCTTCTGCTCGTTCTCGCGGTCGACGTCGGCTCGCCGGGGATAGAGTCGCGTCGGCTCGATGCCTGGAGCAGTGGAGATGCTTGTGCAAGACTTGAGCCTCGTCTCGGTGGCGAAAGAGCACTCGCCGCGGCGGATCTCGTTGAGCATCCCGACGAACTCCCGATCAGACTGGCGGAAAACCTGTGTCAGCTCCATCTGGAGATCGAAGCATTCCTTCCAGCACTTCGCGTTGAAGACGAACGACTTGGTCTCTCCGGGCTTTTGAACTGGCGGGAGCTGAAAGAAATCGCCGGTGACGATCAGCTGCAAGCCACCGAAACGCTCTTTGCTCCTCCTCACGGCTCGCCCCACAAAGTCCACCTTGTCGAAGAGCTCCGCGTCGATCATGCTTATCTCGTCAATCACCAGAGCCGCAGCGTTGAGCCATCTCTGTTTCTTCTCCTTGCTTCTCATCACCATGTCGACAAGCTGCTCCTTCTTCGAGAGCCCAATGCCCACTCCAGCGAAAGCGTGAAAGGTAGTACCACCGATCGCGCACGCAGCAATCCCGGTTGACGCTGTCACGTAAACTGCCGATGGATGGTAGACAGTCCTCAAAACTTGGATGGCTCTCTCGAGAATATAGCTCTTTCCTGTTCCAGCCGAGCCCGTCACAAAGACCGATTGCCTGTTACACACAGCCTCCAAGACCCTGAGCTGCTCGGGAGAAGGAGTAGCCTCTTTCGTCTCAAAGTTGCCATTTTTGTTGCCAGAAGAAGTTCCTTCGTCCGCGGTGCCCATCTTCACTGCCTTGCAAGGACCAAAACTTTCTTTCTCGGGACTTGGCCGCTTTCTAGTCTCCCTCCAGCCTTCACTCTCCAAGTTCCTCACAAGAGTATCTTCTTTCCGGACGAGCGGCGGCGCTGGAATGCTGGGCTGAGCTCTGACGGTGGAATGGATAACTTCATCGTCCGATTCCCCTAGAACGATCACTTCCGGCTTCGATTTGGACGACTCACGAATGGGGCTGCTCGTAATATCGATCACTTCCTGCTGGGATGGTGTAGGAACCAGCGTACTACCTGACATTCTCGCCTGTCGCCGCGCAAGCGCCAGGTCCCTCTGCCGTAGGGCTCGATTTCTCTGCTGTTCCGTCAATACCCTCGACTGATCGTCTTTCAGCATGATCACATCCATCTCTCGGCCTGCAGGAAAGAGTCTCGTTACCTAGAGGAGAGCGCAAGAGAATTCAATGATCATACCTCGCTCCACAAGCCCCAAAACGAACCGAATGAAGAACCCTAAGTGGGAAGAGTAGTCAAAGCGCGAAACTTTCAAAATTTGGGCGCGAAATAGGCGGCTGAGATTTAAAAAAAGAGAGTAAATGCCGTCGAATCCTAAAAGAATATGCTTCGGCGTCGTTTGGAGCAAGGGAGAGCTTTGGCGCATTCCATCGCGGCGCGACGAGCAACCACGATCCCTGATCGATCATCCTAGGAGGCGGCGCTAGGATCGGGAGTTAGGGTAGATTAGGGCCGGCATTTCTCCCGGAGGAATGAAGCGCGGCAACAGCCACAGCAGAGCGAGGTAAGATCGATCAATCGATCGATCGATCGCGAGAGCGCATTTCTTCGTTGCTAATCTCTTTGCTCGTGATCGTTTCCCAGTTTCAGAGTAGCGTGGGACGAGAACAATCTCGACTATCTGGAGACGCACAAGACGCCCAAGCAGAAAATCGACGAGCCAAAGACGCCATTCCACGCGCCTGGTACGTCGAGATCTGGCCTTTTGCTCGCGATCCACCGAAATATTTCCCCCTCTTCAGAGAAATCTTTCTTCTTGGCTTGGCGCAGGAGATTTGTCGCCGATTCCCGACGACTCCAAGACGTCCGTGGATCCCAATGTCCTCCGCCACGCTCTCGAGAACGTCGCCTCCTCCAGCAGCGATCACGGATCTAGCAGCAGTGCTAGCAACGGGAAATCGAGGCGCAAGAGTTTTGAGGATGTCCGGCGCGAGCACTACTCCGAGTTTAAGACGTCCAAGATGCTACTCCAGAATGTGAAGGATGAGGAGGATTTGGATCTGGACAGGAACCAATTGGCCGGCGGTGTTAGCGGGATTAGAATCGAGGAGAATAGCCAGGGATCATCCAAGTCGAGCTGAGAAGAGCAAGCGATCTTTTCTTCTCTTTCTCTCTGGGAAGAACACACAGGGACAGGGAAGGATCCTCTCATCGGTTTTTTTGCCTCTCTTCTTTCTCTACATCATTGGGTGGCCGGGGACCTGGCCATTTCATTGTTTGGCCGGGCAGGGGATTGGGCCACGTGTCCTATGCCGGAGACGTGGCAGTTTGATTAGTTTGGCCGGACAGGGGGGGTTGGGCCACGTGGCAAAACCCTATTTCTAAGCGATGGTGAAGCTAGCAGCCCGTGTGATTTCTTCGCTGTTCTCGCGGGCTACTAGTGGGAGATGGAGGCTCAGTGCAAGTGTTGGGCGCTACTATCTCATGGGGAGGACGAGTCGGGGCTGGAATTCCACCGGGAGCTCTCGCTTGGCGGAGGCGAGAGGATTTCACTCGGCCGGGGCATGGTATGGAGCTCAAGAGGGCTCGAATGGCACTGCCACAGTCGACTATAGGTATGTAAGAACTCATCTATGATTCGATTTGCTGATTTCTTTCCTTCGTTCCAGCTCTCAATTGCCCGAGAAAGAGTTCCACAGTGTTGCAAACGAGACGCTCCACCGTTTGCAAGAGAAGATCGACGTAAGTGTGAGAATGCGAGCGGTGGAAAGATCCATTCTAACTTTGTGTTGGGCGAACAGGAATACGGGGAGAAGCTCGCGATTGATGGCTTCGACACTGACTTCGCTGTAAGCTAAGCCGCTGCCTTGATCTTCTTTTCCTCCTAGCGCTGTGGTTCTTCTTTCCAGGAGGGAGTTCTCACTGTTCGTCTGGGTGATCTGGGAACTTATGTTATCAACAAGCAAACTCCAAACCGGCAAATCTGGCTCTCATCTCCTGTGAGGTATGATCTTCCACTCGCATTTTTCGATCGATCTCATGGTTTTGGAACAGTGGCCCGGCGAGATTCGACTGGCAGGATTCACAGTGGGTCTATCGACGCACGAAAGTGGAGCTCCAAAGCTTGCTAGAAAAGGAATTGAGTGAACTCTTGGGACACTCCATCGATCTGGGAGAATGAAAAGCTCCTTTAAGCCCTAACCCTAAAACCAGAGAGAGAAAGGTAACGGATAGTAGAAACCAGGTAACTGTTACTACGTTTGCGATTTGTCCGCCGGTAGGTTCTGGCGAGAGTGCACTGGGCAATAGCCTTATCCGCCGGTCCATTCAATGAGGAAGAGAATGTGGCTATGGCGATATTTGAGCTCCATTTGGCGGTGTCGCGGAGCTAGGGTTTTGTGCGGCAGCGAGGCTGGACGGATCGAGCGCTCGAAATCTTCAATCGACTGAGCATGCAGCGCGCTTTGATCTGGTATGGATGATGCCGGAGCTCCGGATTCCTCTTGCATTGTAGATCGCGAGCAGGGAGGAATCGGTCAAGAGAATGGCGCGGCGGCAATGCAGGAGGAGCGATCGGGCGGCGAACCAGCTACCGATGTTCCAGAGCTTCCAGAGATCGTCTTGACCAAGGCGCTGTGGCGGCAGATTAGGAGCTTGCAAGAGACCGAGAAAGAGGTACAAGAGAGGCTAGAGAGGCAGAGGGTCCAGCAGCTGGTCGACAAGGTAGAAGACGAGGTGGAGTATGAGGGAATTCTGGACGATGTGTGCTCGAGGATTAGAGCCGAGGAGGAGGCCATGGAGGTGGAGCGACGAGAGCGTGAGTGGGAGCTCGAGCGTAGAGAGGAAGAACTGGAAGAACAGGTGGAAGTGTTGAAGGATAGAGTTAAGAGATTGGAGGAAGAGCTTAGAATGGCACAGCTTGAAAGTACGCCGGCCGACGTGATGCAGAAGATGCTCTACGAGGGGGATGGAAATCAAGCTCTGATGATCGAGAATGTGGTGCCGAAAGATATCGAAGTGCTCGATGGTGGTGGTGGTGGTGATGGCGATGGTGGTGACAAGCCGCTGCCAAATCCCACCCACGACATCCTCGTCGCGTTTGAGGACATGCTCAAGGAGGCGGACGAGCGGCACGATCGAGAGAAGAAAGCTATGGAAGATACCATTCTCGAGAAAGAGAAGACCGAGAGAAAGTTTCGGCACGAGCGGTATGAATGGCGTGCTCGTCTCAAGCAGATGGAGAGCCAGATGCTGGCGATGGAGAAAGAGATTGGACGCGCTTCCGGACTGCTGAAGGAAAGAGATTCTGTCGTGGCGATGGAGAAGGAGCGGAGACTGGCCGCGGAGGAAGCGGCTGCAAAGTTTTCTAGTCTGCTCAAGGATGAAAGGTTGGCGCACAAATTTGCGACGGTAAAGCTCAAGAAGGTCGAGAGTTTTTTCAACAAGCTGAAGGACAGGATAGCGAGAGAGAAAGCTGGGAATGCCAGCAGTGCCTTCCTCACGGAACTTGAGAAAGAAGTTGGGAGGCTCTCGTCGATTTTCAGCGTGAAAAAAGACTTGCACAAGGCGATGGAAGGCGAGCAGTTTGAAGCGTTGAAGAAGCAGCGTGACGCAGCCGTGGCCGAGAGAGACAAGCTCGAAGAGAAACTTAACCGGTTGCTAAAGAGGTCTAGGGATCGAGAGGCAGAAATCGATGCGATGTGGCTTGAACGGGAGAAGTTACTTATCGAGAAGGTGACTTCACTGGAAGAGAGGACGGAACGGTATGAAGAGGATATTGCGTCGGAGAAAAGATCGCGGAGACAAAATGCCGGAGAGCACCGGAAGGATTGGGATAACGAAAAGAGTGCGCTGGAGGAAGCCGTTCGGGATAGAGAAAATGCTCTAAAAGCACAGAGAGAGGAGACTCAACGTCTTATAGAAGAGAAGGACCGAGAGCTTCATACGCTTAAAACGGTGCACCAACAGCTGCTGCGCGACCTTGCTCTGTATAAGAAGCACACGAAGCAGGACCTTGAAGAACGAACCGACTCTTCTCAGGATACCAGGCCGGAACAAAGTGTCGACCAAAGTGGCGATACAATGGCTGTGGACCTTGAGAGACATTCAGAAGGAGCTTCAAACAGATCGGACAGCGTGGGAACAGAGAAGGCGAGTTCCGAAAGAAGCGAGCTGGAAGAGAAAGTTATTGACACACTATCGCTGGTGGAGGAGCTGAAAAGCAAAATGAACGAGAAGGAAAGCCAAATGCAGTGGGAAAGAAAGCAAATGGAGACCATCGTAACCAACAGGACTGCTGAAGCCGAAAGCCTGAGGAGACAGCTCGAGTCAAAGGAGCTTGAGATGGAAACTCGGGTCGACAAATTCCGGAGCGAAATGCAGCTTATGGAACGGGAGCTTGAGAAGGAAAGACTGGAGAGAGAAAGTGTCCTTGCATCGAAGGGGAAGCTAGTGGCAGAGGTGCAGAAGAGAGTGAACGAGATGGTGCAAGAGCTGTCAAGTTTGAGGTTGGAGTTGCGCAAGAAAACGGAGGAGCTTGATTGCTTGAAAAGAGAGAAAAGGATGGAAGAAGCTCGCATTTCGAAGGTGCTTGTGGTCCAGAAAGAGCTCGAAGACGAAGTCTCAAGGTTGCAGCACGAGAACGCGGAGCTAAGTTTTGCAGTAGCAGCTCCAGAGAACGGCATGGACAGTGAACGAACAGGAGACACAAGCAGCAGTTCCGGTGACAAGAGACACGAAGAGTGGCAATTTGCTCTGGAGAAGGTTGCCGTATTCGACAAGCAGATTAGCGAGGCAATGCTTGCGATACAAAACCTGCGGGAAGAGCTGTGCGTGAAGGAGGCTGAGCTACAAAAGGCCAGGAGTGAACCCGAACTGGAGCTAGAAAGACGGGAAGAAGCGTGGACGCAAGAACGAGAACGCCAAGAGGCAATGTACGCACAGAAGGTGGAAACTTGGAGGAGAACGGAGCAGAAAATTCTGGCCGAGAAGACGGAGCTGCTAAAGGTGCTAGAGACGGAGCGCTCTGAGAGCTCCGATGCGATCGCGCTCTTAAACGGGACCATCAGAGAACTGCAGTGGACTTTGATGAGGAAAGCTCCGGGCGAGAGCGTGGATCACTTGTTCAAGAGCACGCCAAAAGGTGAAATGGTTAAAGTTCACGCTTCTCACTTGAACGAGGTGGATCAGTACATATATGAGCTGAAAGGCAAGGTGGTGGAGCTGGAGAGATCGAAAGTGAAGAAGCCAACGAGAGAGGAAGAGCTGGACGAAGCCTTGCTTCATGTGGAGAAGGAGATGCTGAGCGTTTCTCCGGATAGGAGGTCTAGGCTGATCAAATATGGTTCTCCGCCGTCAGTGCGACCGCGAGCAGTCGAGAGAAGCCTCACGAGCTTGATGCTCCAACCGGGAACTTCGAGTGATCGATCATGGAATCCTCTAAGGTACTCGAAACTTTTTTCTTTCTGTTTTCTATTCTCACTGTTGGAGATTTTAGCTGCGTGTCCAGGGATAACACGATCGAGGACCGATGGACTCATGAATTGCCGGCTCCGGAAGCTCTTTCTCTGGCAGTACCACCGCGGCAGCAGAAAAAATGGATAGTTGACACTTCCTGGCTCGATCAAGTGCGAAAGGTACACAAACTTTGGCAGCACTTCATGCGAAGCTTACATACTCTTGACAGGAGCACTCGTTTCTAACACAACAGCTTGCTTTAGAGCGTCAGAGACTCGCAGCTCTTGGCCAGGTGATTGAATTGACGCTCGTAGATTTTGATGCTAGCTGCAACGATGCTCGTCTACACAGGTCGAAGCTGAGAATCACTGGATGGAGGCGATGATGCTGAGAGCCTTGGAGCAAAAGAAAGAATGCGAGCACAAGCTTTCACAGCTTCAAGACAAGGTCAGTGCAGTGAGATCTTAGATTTCCAAGCTCAAGGAGCTTTGTCTGCGTTGGTTCTTCCAGATTTCTCCTTGGAGCCAGAAAAGAGCGAGCTAGAATCTCTGGGAAGGTCGAGGAATTTTTTTCTTCCTTTAAATGCGTAGAATATTCTCTCTTCCTTACGTGGCTTCCAAGTTTTAGGGTTTATGGCGTTAGGGTGTGGTGCTACACGAGCTCCGTGATCGACACCGCGACTCTAGGTCGCATTGACGATGTTGCGTAGTGTTGACCAGCGCAGGCTTGCGAGGAGATTCGTCGTGCCTCGGCTGCATTCTTTCCATTCCTTTTCTTTCCTCCATCAGAATGCTCCTGCAGGAGAAGCCGCGACGCCGAGCTTCGCCCCCGATCATGCGCTCCAGGATCGCAAGGCCGCGGCATTTCGAGGATTGGGGCCTTTTGGCGTCGTCCAAGGATTGGCGGAGGAGAAATTTCAGGCCAGCGCTGGAGCGAAATCCAGGTTTCTGTCTAGCTCCACCAGGTTTCCTTGCGCGCCATCGCGCTCGTCGGCAGTCCAGGTCGATGAGGACGAGCCGGAAGAAAAGCCGGCCAAGCACGATCCATCTCCGGAGGAATGCGACCAGGCAGTGGAAGGATTGAGCTCCGCCAAGGCCAAAGCGCTCACCAAAGAAGCTCCAAAGAAAGTTAGCGTTGTGACAAGGGTGTGGAACGCTCTGATCGGGATTGGACCAGCGCTCAGGGCCATCGCTTCTATGAGCAGGCTAGTATTTCCTTCTTCTCTTCCAGGCAGAAAAATCGAACACTCGTTTTTTAATTTTTAATTTTTTTTTCTTGTAGAGCGGACTGGGCTGTGAAGATCAAAGGGTGGTCGAAGTCTCTCAAGGAAACTCTGCAGCACTACTGGCTCGGGACAAAGCTCCTGTGGGTTGACGTGAGGATCTCGTCGCGGCTTTTGTTAAAGCTTCTCCGGGGACAGACTTTGTCTCGCCGCGAGAGGAAGCAGCTGACGCGAACAGCGGCCGACATTTTCAGATTGGTCCCGTTTGCGGTGTTCATCATCGTCCCTTTTATGGAGTTCCTTCTCCCGGTGTTTCTCAAAGTCTTTCCCAACATGCTGCCATCGACGTTTCAAGACAAGATGAAAGAACAGGTAAGCTGTTTGCTACCTTCTAGGATCACGTACAACGATCTTTGTTTCCTTGCTGTAGGAGAAGCTGAAGAAGAGGCTGAATGCACGCATGGAGTACGCGAGGTTCTTACAGGAGACAGTGGAGGAAATGGCCAAGGAGGTAAAGACAAAG